CTAAGAGTCAAGTTTTACTCTCATCAACATGACCTTCTATGTACATATCTTCCCCATCCCCTCCTTTCCACGTCACTAAATCCCAGAAACTTGTGACCCACTGGAAGACGAACTCATTTTCTGACTTTCGTTTCTCCTCTCATCGGTGCAAGGCCGTCTATCGAGCTGCTCAAGCTACAGCCGTCTACGGACGAACAGTGTTCGTTTGGGAGTTCCGCCATGCCCCCTTATGTGTTGGGGTATACAGAAATTACTCGCACAAAATGTCACAAAATTAAACTTTTTTCAATGGTGTTTTTTTCGGAATTTTCTATTAAACACTGCCTGTGGGTATCGCATGCATATAATAAATCCTGATATTTCATTATATCCCAGCTGGTCCACCAAAAGTGACTCACACCGTCTTTCGTCCTTCCGGTCTTGAAACATTGGAAGTAGCGCGGACAAAACCGTATAGAAAAAACATCAGTGTTAAGTACTTCACATAAGTTTCTATAAGCCTGATTGACAGGATCTGAATTGTCAAAGAAGTAGGTGAGGATGTAGTTTGACCAGTAGAGAGTTTAATAGGNTTCGTCCTTCCGGTCTTGAAACATTGGAAGTAGCGCGGACAAAACCGTATAGAAAAAACATCAGTGTTAAGTACTTCACATAAGTTCCTAGAAGCCTGTTTGACCGGATCTGAATTGTTAAAGAAGTAGGTGAGGATGTAGTTTGACCAGTAGAGAGTTTAATAGGCAAAATAGAATTTTTATGCTCATACAAGCGTGTATTGTCCCTGTATAGTAATTTTTCGGATGGCTTCAGATATTCCAAAAAATCTGTATTATGAAATTTTTGGCAGATACTTTCTGCACGGCCTCGAACATCGACACTTATAATCGTGAACATTACACGCCATAAAGCGGAAAATGAACAGTGACCCTTTTTCAGAATAGGGAGTTTGTCTTTTTGAACACGTTGCATTCTTTTCTTTCCTACCAACGGTAAGAGGATCAGTGAGGTAGTAGCCACATGCATATTGATGGGAATCTTTTATGCTGCATCACACGAAATAGTAGTATAGTAGATAGTATACGGAATAAACAACTCATTTAATTGGGCTAATTCAATTGGTTTAATTTAATTGGTTTTGATAGTTATTCCCTTTAAACCGTCACACCCACTGACAAGTTATGTGTATGTTTGTTATTGTTCACTTTCCAATTGTTTAGGCTTTTCCATCATCCGAAAATCTACAAGCATGTACACAAAATTCACCACGAATGGACAGCACCTGTTTGTGAGTTGTTTATTTGTAAATATCGAATGGTTTATATTCAATGTTATGTTTGAGCGATCACAAGCATCTACTGCCATCCCATTGAACACGCGTTTTCGAATCTGATGCCGGTACTTCTCGGTGAGATCCATTTATAGATCCATTGCTTCATTTGAAAGATCCCTTTTCAGGCCCTACTCTATGCGGTTCACACATAACTACGCTATGGATCTGGGCATGTATAGCCGTTATATCGACGACGTTTTCTCACTCCGGCTACCATTTTCCAATGTCTCCGTCCCCAGAAGCACACGACTACCATCACAGAGTGTGCGTCAAAAATATTCAACACCTTCACTTGGCATGGGAGCTCCTAAATGTTAGAAGTTAAGACCAAAGGAAACAAAATTTTTTTAATTTTTCGAATGTTGAAAGTCTTGTCAACCCATGAGGTGTCTATCAAGGAAACTTTGAGCTTCATACAATATTAATTGCCTTTCAGAAGGTGTGTTCTACAGAGAGCTCCCCGATTTCGACTTTTCAGGTTCAACGAGTGTTTTGGCGTGCTGGGCATTCTCGACTACATTCATGGTACTGCAAAAAATTTCAGAAGGTTAGAATTGCAATGCCCACGTTTCCTCTGAGACATTGTCTGATGCAGTGCTGTTCTAGGTCTGTCCATTTCAAGAGACATACCACCTATTTCTCTTTGAAGCCGATTAAAGAGATCATCCCTGACAGTGACATCGCCTCGGACAACAATGATAAGAAAGAATAAAGATTTCAATTATATTTCGTAGTAACACCAGACTTATTTCTTCTCGTAATATTTCAAACAAAAACCAATCGAAATTCTGCAAATCGGTTAAGCAGAGCACACAACTCGATATCGCCATGGCCATTTTCAGAACGAACAATTGCCATGCATTGAGGTCGCTAGATAATAAGGATGTGATGCAAGAAGCCCTTCACTGGTTGTGTGTATCGCATCCAATCATTTGCCCTCTGCTTCCCCTCTACTCATCTTTCCCACATCGTGCTGTCATTTATTATCTCTCCTTCGAGTCCTCCTTTTCTTTAAACAAGGATGTGGTTTATGTCTCTTGAGATGTTTTAAGCCTTTCCGAGATTCACAAATTCATCCAGCTTACGTTTCGGCCTTCTCGCCTTCTTCAGAGCCTTGAACTCAGAGGCCAACCACTAGGACGACCACACAAGAACGGAACAGATGTGGTTTATATATAGTAAGGATTCTATTGAAGCGACAAACGCTGAGATGTGAGCCTACATAAACGCTTGAAATCGGAGAACATTGTTGCTTGGAGGGCCTCCACCAATGTATGTTGCCCAGGACTAGACCTTCTGCAAAACAGCTCAGACCTTACCTGACGTTGACCTATTATAGGTCTTGTCCAACCATAGGGCGTCTTTACATTGTTTGCGAAGCCGTAATGATAATCTCTTGTAATGACCATTCTACTCAAATTAATGGTCTATGTCACTCCTGGCTATTGAATGTACCAACAGCACGTGTTTGTTTTGAATGGCACATCTGCCACAGACCAACACTGTCCACATCCATATTCTTTCAGAAACGGCAGGATTTTCGTTGCAATACGCTCTTTCAAGACACGTGCGCAACTTGATTTTATGGTTGTGGTGCAGTTGTAATGTTCAAGGTCGACCTCTTCGGTGGGAACACGTATTAACTAGGCATTCAACGATGCTGGGGAAGACTTTCCCAATGCTTTCATCAAATTATAGGTTAGCTAGGCCTACATCTGATGGTGTAACGGGAACGAGAGTTCTTCTGTGATACACTAGTCTTGCCTATATATGTTTATTACTACTGCAACATTACAAATAAAACAAGGGGAACGAGCCCGGACGAGGAGGCATGCGACCAGGGCAATGTTCCATGCGGCGGAGAAGAGCAAGACGACCTGGCTGAAACCAACCACTTTCATATCGGCCTTGTGCGACGTTGCGTGAGAGATTGATGGCGGCGCCCAGGATGAAGCGGCAGCGAAGCGAGGACTCGACATCCCCATTCCTTGTAGTAAGCTCGTCCTCGAGCTTCGATCGTGCTTCCGGTATGGCACAGGCATTCTCATAAAGCAGAAGCTGCATAAAACAGTTGAGGTGCATAGTACGACATTTG